CCTGCGTCGCTTCGGGGGCGGGGGCCGCAGCACCACCGCGCCGCGTGGCCTCTCTCTGCGCGCACCGGCGTCCGACCAGCCGGGGGCGGTGACCACAAGGCTCTCAGCACCTCCGGCGAGGACACGCTGAGCGACTCAGGTAAAGACCACGCAGGGGTCGGCTGCTTTCCTGGGGTGCAGGCGTGGGGGTGCGCGCCCTTTGTCACTGTGCTGGGTTTAGGCTTTGATGGGGAGCGTTTTGGAAGTAGTGATGAAGGCTGAGGGTTGTTTTTTTGTCAAACGGACCCCCAGGATTAGGAGGAGAGGTTGAGTGAGAGTTGCTAAGAGGGTGTTATCCAAAGTGTCACCTTCATTGAAAGTTCCTTCTACCCTCTGGGGGCCCGACTCCATCAATGGCCCTCATCCGGTCTAGTTGCCCACTTCTCTGCAGCATAAAATCGGTAAAAAGTGGGTAGGAGGTAACGGGGCCGCTGGCTGCATTACTTGGGCAGAAACCCGTTAGCCCTGGGGCGGGGGAGAGGGATTTGACCCAGGTCAAGGGTGAGAAGACACAGGCATTGTGCAAAGTCCTGTGCAGGCACAGAAAGTTAGAGGGAGATTGCGCAGATGGCTAGTAGCAAATTTATTTATTTTTTAAACCTGGGTGCTCTTCTCTCCCTCCCTTTGTGGGTGGTGGGCTACTTGCTCCTGGTAGGTGGCCAGCAGGCGGCGATATCCCAGGGAGGCGGAGGCTCTGAATGGCTGGGGGTGAAGGGGCCACCCCTGCCTCCCTCCAGCAGCTGGCGGCGAGTCCAGCAGAGGTTGTGTACATTCCCAAGGGGCCGCCTCTTCACCGCTCGCAGTGAGACTGTGTCCAGTTTTGTCTTCGAGCCAGAATTTCCAGGACTAATTTCTGATCCGAGTTGGGTTTTGTAACCCGGTGTCCTTGGAGGTGAGGGCGGGCACTGGGCCGGCCCTCCAGGAACTCACACGCCCTAGAAGCACTCATTGATGAGTTCCATTGATGAGTTCCATTGTGTGCCTCTGGTCTTGGAGGGTAGGGTTAAAAGGAAGACTGCCTGGGGCCCTTGGAGGTAAAGAAAGAACTCTTCCCCAAATACTCAAAACAGCCCTTGTTTTGGGGGCTGGGAGCTTGTGTTCCTGGAATCTCGAAGCCCAGTGTTTTCAGAATGCAGGCGGATTAAAGGCCTAAATTTCCTCCTGGGCCGAGGACGGATTCCTCTGAGGCTCCTGGAAGGAAACTTGGTGATAAGCCTCCAGTTTGAAGCTGGTCTGTCCCTTTAATGTCTGTGCCTTGACAGCTCTCGGTGAGGAAGCACTTCCTTCCAACAGCTGTCTTCTTGGCAGAAAACCAAAACATGGGCTTAAAGGGACCCACAGGCTGCAGCAGCCTCACATTTCGGCTTCAGAACAAATCCTACAATTGTTGAGCTTTCCGGTCCCCTTCAGATCAAGCGGCAGCAGTGTTTTGGTTTTTCATGCTTGCCTTTTTAAACAATAATTTTCTATCCCGGCACGTAGTAAATGAGGAGAGGGGGGGATGATGTTACACGCCTCTGCTGCTGCCGTTATTACTGGCCACGGAGCAGAGGTGCTCCCATGTTTGGGTTTAGAGCGCCTGCGGATTAGGACTCGCTAGTGAAGACGGGATGTCTGCTAGATGAAAAAAGGGCTTCATTAAATTGTTCTGTAAGTTTGTTTAAGGGCCTAAAATCAAACGCAACCAAGTGTAGAATTGCTAAATGAGGAGTCTCAATTCTTAAATGTCGAGATGGAAATATGAATAAGTGTAGGGGGTAGACTGGCGATGGCGTTAAAAGCTACCATTTACGGAGCATCTGTGTACCAGGCCAGCTCTCTACATATTACAGGTCCATCTCAAGAACCTTGTGGTATTGGTCCCATTTAATAGGAAACTAAGGCTTGGAAAGGTTTAGTGACTTGCCCAGGATCACACAACTAATGTGTGATGGAGCCAGGATTCTGTCTCACTCCACAATCCAGGTTCTTTCTATATCTGCCACCTGCTTGAGCCTGGAAGCTGAAACTGCTAGGAATATTGGGGAAGGAAAAGATCTAAAGTACATTAATTAAAAAGGTCTAAAGTACATTTCTCTTCCCATCTCTGTGGATGGAACCAGAATAATAGCAAAATGCGCCAGGGCCTGGAAGAGGCGGTACAGAGGGAGAGAAAGGTTCTTGTGTCTCACTCTGAGAATAACTCCCATCTTGTTCTTGAAGATGACGAAGATGACGAAGAGGAAGACGAAGAGGAGGAAATCGACGTGGTGACCGTGGAGAAGCGGCGGTCCTCCGCCAACAGCAAGGCCGTCACCACCTTCACCATCACCGTGCGCCCCAAGAGCGCGGCCCTGGGCCCGGGGAGAGCCCAGCCGGGGGACCTGATCCTGATCCTCAAGCGCTGCGTCCCCATCCACCAGCCGCACAACTACGCCGCGCCCCCGCCCTACGTAGAGCGAGGAGGCGCCGCCCCAGAAGAAGATGAAGAGCGAAGCGTCCCCCCGGCCCCTCAAGAGCGTCATCCCCCCGAAGGCCAAGAGCTTGAGCCCCCGCAACTCCGACTCGGAGGACAGCGAGCGCCGCCGGAACCACAACATCTTGGAGCGCCAGCGCCGCAACGACCTGCGGTCCAGCTTCCTCACGCTCAGGGACCACGTGCCAGAGCTGGTGAAGAACGAGAAGGCCGCCAAGGTGGTCATTTTGAAAAAGGCCACCGAGTACGTCCACTCCCTGCAGGCGGAGGAGCACCAGCTGCTGCTGGAGAAGGAGAAGCTGCAGGCCCGGCAGCAGCAGCTGCTCAAGAAGATCGAACACGCTCGGACTTGCTAAACGGTTCTCCAACCTGGACAGTCACTGCCACTTTGCACATTTTGATTTTTGTTTTTGTTGTTTTTTGTTTTTTTACATTGTGTTGACATTAAGAATGTTGGTTTACTTTCAAATCGGTCCCCTCCCCCCCGTCGCGTTTGGATCTGGGTGGGGAGCAGGACCTGTGGGGTTGGTTCTGCCAGGACCTCGGGAGAGAGGGCCTGGGTGATGGGATGCTGTGCGGCCCTTGACGTTTCCTCCGCGTCACCTCCGAGACGGCCGTGGGAGTGCGTGACCGTTGGGGAGCCTCTCGGGCTGTTGAAGTCACCTTGTTGCAAGTCTCCAAACATCAGAATGTCATTCCTTTTAAAATGGTGCTTACGTTCCAGCCGATGCCACGGGAGGGGTTTGCCATTGAGACCCCGAGGACACTTCTGTAAATACCACTGACACGCCCGCCTTTTGTATGCGTCCGGGTAATGAGAGGTGGCTTTTGTGGCCAGTATTAGACTGGAAGTTCATACCTAAGTACTGTAATACCTCAATGTTTGAGGAGCATGTTTTGTATACAAATATATTGTTAATCTCTGTTATGTACTGTACTAATTCTTACACTGCCTGTATACTTTAGTATGATGCTGATACATAACTAAATTTGATACTTATATTTTCGTATGAAAATGAGTTGTGAAAGTTTTGAGTAGATATTACTTTATCACTTTTTGAACTAAGAAAACTTTTGTAAAGAAATTTACTATATATATATGCCTTTTTCCTAGCCTGTTTCTTCCTGTTAATGTATTTGTTCATGTTTGGTGCATAGAACTGGGTAAATGCAAAGTTCTGTGTTTAATTTCTTTCAAAATGTATATATTTAGTGCTGCATCTTATAGCACTTTGAAATACCTCATGTTTATGAAAATAAATAGCAATTAAATGATGCAGCTTTTTTTTTTTTTCACCCCCTTGATGGCATGCGAGTTAGAGTCTCCCTAAAGCAGTGACCTTCACAGCACATAACTTACAGAGGGAATCCTGGTTGGGGAGGGAGGGGCTGTTGTCCCCACCTGGGGGTGGAGGGAACTGTGCTTAGAAAGGTGTTAAGACATCTCTTCCAGGCTCCACAGAGTAGAGGTATTACTAGTGACTGCATTGTAGCAATGGCACTCAATCGTTTACAAAGCATTTTCCTTGTTGGATATTTCATGGAATTAAAGTAGGATGGCAGCCATGGGCCATTTACTTAGTTACCTACTTTTTTTATAGACGTGGATCCTTTAAAAGTAAGAAGTAGTCAAGACAAGGTGGTGTAATTGGCTGTATTGGTGTTGGCCATACTTGTCCCATTGGCAGGTGGCTTTACATTTTGGTGTCAAGTGTAGTTTGTCTCCAAGAACGCATCCTTCCAAATTCAGTGAACTTGGAAGGTTCTAGGCTGGCCGGGCCCTGTAGCAGAATATGCATGAAGTTGTTCTCTCAAGGAGCTCTCAGTCTGATTCACAGAAGTAACTCAAGAAGTGACAGGCGTGTGGCCCAGATCCAGCGACATGTCCCTTCAGGAGGGTCAGCGGGTGCAGTGTGCTCTGTCCATTTGCAGCTCCTGTCACACAAGCTGGCATTGGGGCTGCCCCGAGGAAGCAGGACCCACCAGTGCAGGCTCTGGAGGACAGCCAGGGCCAAAGGGTGGGGGGGCAGGCACCTCGGCGAGGAGGGAGTTTCATTTTCCCTGATGGGAGGTGACACCGCCTCTGGGCGGCTTGGGAGGTATTCTACTTAGACCTGAAAGCCTGTACGAACCTATTTCTCACTCCGGTGGAAGGTACTGGGTTATTTTTCTAAGATTTCATCCTGATTTTTAGCTTTGAATTGAAAAGGGCCTTTTGCTTTCTTTGAGAAGAAAACGGCCAGGGATGAGAATATGCTTTACTTGTCTGGTCACAGCTTGGGGGGGTGGGGAGGGTAGAGATGGGACAACCGGAGCCTGTCTGTTTTTGCTGCTTTTTAGAGGCCAGTGGGAGGTTAGAACCTCCTTACTCTGTTCACAGCCACACATCTCAGAGCTCTGAGGCTGGTGCTGCCATGGACATTGCTGATGGCCAGGCCATCCCCACACTAGGAAAACAAGGAACCTGCTTTGAAAGTCCATTTTAAATTGTCATTCAAAAGGCTTCCTGACCATTTGCACTTTATGAGACTCTAATCACCTTGTTTGTGTAATCCTGAACCAAAGGAAAGATCAGTGACCTCAACTTTGAGGTCACTGAGCACCTGAGGTGCCTCGCTTCTCTATTTGTGGTGCCCACAGGGGCCTATCTGGGTGTTTTCAGAGGAGCGGGAAGTCTAGCCGTCGAGGAGGGAAATAAGGAGGCCCTAAACTCATTCCTACCATGCTCCCTTTTTGCTCTGGCCACTGGGAAGCTCAGAGCCAAATTCTATACTCCCATTCTACATATCTGGTGCCCATTCTCTTTCTTTCTAAATGTCTGTGATCTCTTGGTGTCTTTGTTTTTTAGGAGCTGGGATTGGCCAGCATCTGGAAGCCTTCTCAATCTCTTGTTTTTGATTTTCAGTTTAACAACTGTTTAAAATGTTCTTTATTAAATTTCACTGAGAAGTTTTTTTGCATTAGGTGGATCATGAATATGTATTTAAGTGTGAAAACTAAATACCACTTGCCTTTTTTGGCCCAGCTGAGGGAAAGTGTCACCCAGTTCAGCTCTGAGTTATCGATAAAGTAATTGCTGGAGTCACAGAAGAGTTGAACCACTTGTTTCAATCACCAGAGAAACCGTGTTTGCATTCCAAGAGCAGCTTTGAAATGGCTCTACAGCAGGGAGATCAATAAATCCCAGGACTTAGGTGGAGCCCAGAGGGCATCTCCCTGAATGACTTCATTTTACTCCCAGTAGTTCACCCCACTTAGGGGAGATAGCCCAAGCCCCGCAGCCTGACCCAGGCTGTCCCCACCCTGGCTCACCAGCTCCTTCACCGACTCCCCCTGACCCCTTACACACACAGGTGCGCCTCATTGCAGCCACACCAGACCCCCTGGAGCTTTCTCACCTCGGCTTGTTTCACCACACCCCCTCCTGAGTCATCCAGCTTCTGTTTATTGAAATCCTTTCCAACCTTGAGTAGCAAACCCAATGCCATCTCGCCCAGGAAGTCTGCCTTGCAGGTGGGCCCTTAGCTGGTGATGTTGCATCACTTCTGGAGAGAGGAGAGGTGGCCTAATCACTGTCTTGACCATGGGCTCCCCTAAGGCAGTCACAGTGACCCATTCGCCCCTGACTTCAGCCCCAGCCTGGTGACTGACCGATGGCAGGGCCTTGGTGGGTGCCAACAGAATGGCTGGTGGCTGAGTAGCAGCGGAGGGAGGAGCCAGGTGAGGAGCAGATGGGGCCGATTTCCATGACAGGTGTGTCTCCTGCCATCCCCAGTTCCCTTAGGCATCAGTGAACTGGCAGTCCTGACTGCTGGGAGTGAAGAGAAAATGCACACAGGGCCGGGGGCGGGAGGGGGTGGGGGGACCTGTCTTCAGGAAGCCCACAGTCTGGACAGGAGGGGAGATGGGAGGGGCAGGGGACTGTATTAGGCTCTGTGTCTTCAGGCTCCCAGTTGGGAACTCTGTTGGAGGAAGCCGGTTTGCTGGTCTACCAGAGCTCACAAGATGCCGACTCTTGTCTGAAGCACAGACCACCTATCCTATGGTGACAGTGGTTTCAATGCCTCCCACTTCTGTGAAGCCCTGTGTAGACCACTCAGTTTTTACACTGGAGTCTCACGATCTTTCAGGAGTGTTGACCAGCTCGTCATATTTCATTTGGGGAGTTGGGTCTTTTGGTTTTGACTTTCATTAATCTCTATGGTGGTTATCTCTTGAAAACCTTAATTTGGGTTGTCTTTAGAATCAGCCATGATTAGATTTGGGAGAAGCTTGGAAACCATCGGCTTAATCTCCCATTTCAGAGGTGGGACACCAGACAGGGAAGGAAGAGCATGCTGTGTGCCCACCAGGATTCTTTTCTTTCTCTTCCCTTCCTCCCCACTCCTTCCCCTCTGTCACACTCTCCTTCTCACAGTTAAATTTATTTAGCACTTACCATGTGTCAACCACTGTTCCAGACACTTAAGAGACATCAGTGAACAAAAGAGACAAAACTCCCCCAAAGCCCTACTTTCATGGGCTTTATAGTCTAGGAGAGAGTGACAACAATAAAATAAACACAATACGTGAATGACTCAAATAGCACTCAGGAAGGTGGTGGGTGCTGTGAGAAGTGAGTGGAACAGGAGGGAGGGAGTCTGGCAGCCACAGCAGGAGGGAAATGGGGTGCAGTTTGGGGTGAGATGGTCAGGAAGATGCAGTGAGACAGGGCGCTGTTGTGGCTGCTCTCATACCAGGAGCCAGGCCCCCCGGTTCCCTGGTGGGTGTTCTTCCTCCTCCATCTCCCTCTGGTCACTGGCAAAGGCTCCCCACCAACTGCTTTCTCTCTTTCAAGGGAAAGCACCAGAGTGGAGCGGGGAAGAGTGGGATCTGAATGGAGAGTCCCTGGTCTGACTCTGACTCCCACACCCACACGCTCTGGGCTGTGCCGCTTCCCCACTGGTCCAATGATGGCACCACCCACGTCTCGGGTCTTAGGGGGTGACGGGAGCTAACTTATATATGGCACATTGGATAGCGCCTTGAACCTGGGTGCAATTGAATCTTATTAAATAACCTGATTTCTCGTTGACATGATACTTCCTCTATTTTCCTATGTTACTAGAGCAAAGAATCTTCAAGAAAACATTTACTGGTAGAACAAATCCACAAGCCTGAGCTTAGCAGAAACGCTGTAGACTTTTGTTCCTCCAAAGGAGCCATACAAAACCTGAAAACGGGTTCCCTGGAAACAAATGAATGTGCGCTTTGAAGCCTGTTGAAGACGGAGCCTAGGAATTCGAGTGCCCCCAAACATCCACGCCGTCCACAATGGTTTATTAGTTTTCCTTGCTTGTAAAGGAAATCTCTTCATAGGCCACTGACCAGGGCTACCTGATCTCTTCTGATATTGACAGATCATGCTACAGGACATTCATCCCGAAACCTTTGACCAGAAGTAACAGAGCCTTTTTATGGTCGAAGCCGACCGGCCTGTTGGTACAATGCACAGTTGGAGAACACACACAGCACGTACCCCAATGATAAAACACGCGATTTCGTGGGATGTACTCTGAAGAGGCAATGCAACATCGGCTTTATTCTGCACTCTAGCAGGCCCAAGATTTTCAGCAGGCTCTTGGGGGTGAGGTGGGGTGGGGCGGGGTGGAGAAATTAGTCCATTCCTTCAGAAATCCACAGCCTGTTTGGGTTGAATTTTGTGTCTTATGCCATCCTCCGCCATTTGTCTGAGGGAAGGCATAAAAGCAGTCCCCCCCCCCCCCCACCTCCTACCTTACAAATTCTTATTCCACGTGGACTGGGAGGCAGCCCTGGGTAATAAAAATACTTAGTTTACAGACGGAAGCCCTTGGATCTAAGCTCGTTGTTCATTAGTTTCAACCTTGGCACAGGAAGGTAACCGTCTGTGGCTCAGTTGTCATGTCGGTAGGTGGACTGGGTTGGAGCTGGTCATCCCAGTGCTGAGGGTGGACAGTCATTGATCCGTAGGGATGGCTTGGACCACTGCACTGTCTGCCGGGTTTGTGCACACTCTCCATTCGGAATCCCAGACACACATCTCCACTCACCAACTCTGTGGCCGAGGGCAAGTCACTTCCCTTTGAACCTCACGTTCGTCCTCCCTGAAACAACAGTAACAATCACCGAGGTTCTTACTGGGATCAAATGACAGAAAGTGTAAGAGGGATGGGTGGCACTTGGGAAATTGGGAAGTCTAGGAGGTCTGGGC